CTTCACATCCCTTCCCAGCCTCCCCCCGCCCCCCCCCCGTTAGTTTCGTTTTTATCATCTGCATTGTTCACCAATCTGTAAATTCCAAAATGTCAGGAGCTATGTTCATTTAGTCCATCACCTTCCTCACCACACCCTAGTACTGCTGGTTCACGGTGAACACTCAAATGCTGAAGGAGTAGACATAGGTCCACTGCCACTACACATTAGAAGTGGAAATGACAAACCAAGTCTATTCTCAACATTGCCAAAACTGGCCAGGTATGCTTCTAGGGTGATCCCAGAGCCTTTAGTTTCCTCATCTGCAAAGTGATGAGTTCAAGGAACAATCTCTCACATATGCCCTTGATTTCCAAGCACCTTAATGGTCACTGTAAGACATACATAAAAGCTAAATATCTAAGAGTTTAAAATAAAGGTGGAACTAAAAAAAAACTTGAGAGGAGCTTAACAATAAAAATTCTACAATAATAAAGGTCTAAGTACAATAGGAAATCCTCAAAGGTTAAAAATATAGTTACCAATAAAAGAAAGAAGGGAAAAAATGGAGGGGGTAACAAAAGGAAGAGAGAGGAAGGGGGAAAGGAGAAGGGAAAGGAAAGAGTGAAAAAGAAAAGGGAGAAAGGGAGATAGGGGAAAGGAAGAAAGGGAAGGGAAGGAGAAAGAGAAAGGGAAGGAGAAAGAGAGAGAAAGACAACAACTAAGACAAAGAGAAAGGGATGGAGGAAGGAAGGAATGTGTATTACTTTTTCAATAAGAAAAAGTACTTTCTCTAAAATTACAAAAAGGAGCTGGGCACTGGTGGCTCACACCTGTAATCCCAGCTACTCAGGAGGCTGAGATCTGAGGATCGTGGTTCAAAGCCAGTCCAGGAAAGAAAGTCCATGAGACTCATCTCCAGTGAACCACCAGAAAACCAGAAGTGGCGCTGTGGCTCAAGTGGTAGAGTGCTCGCCTTGGGCTGAAGAGCTCAGGGACAGTGCTCAGGCCCAGAGTTCAAGCTCTATGACTGACAAAAAAAAAAAAAAACTACAAAAAGGAAAAAATAATCTGAGTCTCCTAAATCACTGTACTGAAAGGAAATAGTTTGTAGCCTATGCTTCTCAATCTTTTTTATGTCAACAGGGTATAAAAATTCCTACTTGCACAGCACTAGCAGTAAACACCAACCAGGCAATGAGAAGCCCATCAGGCCACAAGAGGGCTGGTGGGCTCCAGCATTCCTCTAGTAGGCAAGGGAATTCTGTCTATGGCATCACAAATTCAAAAATATGAGACTCTTTTAATTACATAAAACAGGCCTTAAAAAAATATCTAATTCTGGGCTGGAAAGGTGGCTCAGTGGTAGAGCGCTTGCCTTGCATGCATGAAGCCCTGGGTTCGATTCCTCAGCACCACATAAGCAAAAAGAAAAAAGCCGGAAGTGACGCTGTGGTTCAAGTGGTAGAGCACTAGCCTTGGGCTGAAGAGCTGAGGGACAGCACCCCGGCCCAGAGTTCAGGCCCCACGACCGTACCCAAAAAAAAAAAAAAAAATCTAATTCCATGTACTATATCTTAGGTCACTATTAATACCAAAAGAGAAGACTGAATTAATATAAATGCCCAGCAAACAGAGCCAAAACAAAATGCAATCTGTATTTAGAATATTCTCAAATGGCCTATCTTTTATAAAACAATAATTGAAAAATATCAAAGTGGAACCAAATAGCTCCTATTTCTGTTTGCAGGCTGTGCAATATGTAGTTTCAAAACTGTATTAACAACAATCTGGCTCTTTTTCTCCGGGCATACACATGAAACATCATTTGGCATATGGGAACAATTCCCATAAAGATGAGGCAGATAATAAGCAAATGATCATTACCTCACGTTATATGAAATGGAAAAGGGCCATTAATGCGGCGTTAAGGTCATAAATTCACATATTCAGAAGCCAACAACATAAAACATTAGTTCCCAAGCATTTTCTCATTTATGCTGCCATATTAATTGTACACACTAAAAACTCTAACAAATATAATTTGTATGAAATACAGAACAATTAAGCTTCCATTTTCATGTAAACTTTCAGCTTTCTTGGTTTACTTACTAGCTAAGAGCAGGTGTCTAACTCCAAAGCTCAAGTGGACCCTACACGTCCTGTATTGATCATCCCCACACTCTCAGCATGGTCCTGGGAGCCTCGTTCACGCTCCCCAGGCCTCCACCCACCAGATGGAAATACACAACGGAATATCCCACATTATCCTTTCATCTTCATTCATTACTTAAGCTATTCTAATAAGCACTGGAAAGGAAACTACAGAGATAAGTTCTGAAATTCCAGAGCTGCAGGTTTTAGGTAATCAACATCAATACTAACTCACCTTATGTTATTCTCAAAGGGCTAAGTGATGAAAACGAAGGTTCTTATCTGCACATACTGTTTTTGTATAAAAACAAAAGCATGTCTATTCATTAATAGACATAGTTTTAACAACATAGTATGCATAATATTGTAAAGATGTTTCATGAGCTTCTAAAATGACCAAAAAAGAATAGGCAAATATATTTTATCCATATATTCATCCATAAACATCATTTGACTAGTTCCCAAGTACTATTATCCAAATGCTAGGGTCAAAATTTGTGTGCATACTATGTGTCAGGCACCAGGCTAGGAACTAAGAATCTTTTTAAAGAGAGGAACAAGACAACAGCACTATCTTCAAAAATTTATGAGCTAAGCTGGGAATGTGGCTCAGTGGTAGAGTGCTTGCCTTGCATGCATGAAGCCCTGGGTTCAATTCCTCAGTGCCACATACAGTGGCACTGTAGCTCAAGTGGTAGAGCGCAAGCCTTGAGCAAAGAAAAGCTCAGGGACAGTGCCCAGGCTCTGAGTTCAAGCCCAGGACTAGTAAAAAAAACAAAAACAAAAAACTTATGACCTAATTGGGAGTCAAATAAACAAATCAACAATTTAAAAAAAAAAAAAACAGGAGCCAGGCACCAATGACTCATTCCTATAATCCTAGATACTCAAGAGGTAGAGTGCTCGCTTGCCTTGAGCTGAAATGCTCAGGGACAGTGCCCAGGCCCAGAGTTCAAGTGCCATGACTGAAAAAAAAAAGGGGAGAGAAGAACTCAGACCAGTGGTTTCTATCTGTAATCCTAGATATCAGCTATTCAGTAGGCTAAAATCTAGAGGACTGTAGTTCAAAGCCAACCTGGGCAGAAAATTTTGCTAGACTCCATCTCCAAAACAAACAGCCAAAAAAAAAGCAGGGTTTGAGGGGTGGCTCAAGTGAGAGAATACCAGCCTAGGAAGTGTGAAGCCCTGAGTTCAAATCCCCCCATGTTGCCACCACCCACCAAAAATAGAAAAGTAAACTAAGTGTCAAAAGGTTAAGTGTGAAAATACAGAGACAAAAGAAATGAGTAAAGAAACATGGGTAGGGCAAGGAGGAAAGGATTGTTAAAAGAGCTGATGCATATACAGGACTAATTAGCTCAACGTAAAGTTGAGCGCTTTCAGACAGAAGGTGCTATACCAGAGCATGAAGAGCATGGTGGCACTGGGGAACTCACACTGCTTTGCACTAGCACACAGGACTTGTTGGGGCTCTCTCACAGTGGCTAGGCTGTCTAAGAAAAGTCAAGTGTCCTGAATTTGAAAATATGAACTGCATTTCATAGTGCAGAGATCCAGAGAGACTAGTAGAATCATAGTCATAGTAACAAGTAACCATAGCAATAACATTTCTTTTTTTTTTTTTTGTCAGTCATGGGTCTTGAACTCTGAGCCTGGGCGCTGTCCCTCAGCTCTTCAGCTCAAGGCTTGCACTCTACCACTTGAGCCACAGCGCCACTTTCGGTTTTTCTAGTGGTTGATTTCCTGCCAGGGTTGGCTTTGAACTGTGATCCTCAGATCTCAGCCTCTGAGTAGCTAGGATGACAGGCATGAGCCACGGGCACCTGGCTAACAGTAACATTTCTAGGTATACATTATGTGTCAGATGTTGTGTGAAGTTTTGCATATATTACCTCATAATTTCTCCATTACTCCATCTACCAAATTATGCACATGTTACAAACAAAAATGAGGTTCACGGAGTGTTATTAGTTTTCTGTCAGTCACCAAATAACTGAGATAGCATAAGAAAGATTCAACTCTTGATTTCAGAGGTTTCAATCCATAGTCACTTCCCATTTCCTTGGGCCAAGAGAACAGTAGAATATGTGCAGAAAGTACATGGTGGAGCAAAGCCCACAGTGGCCAGGACCCCAACGTCCCTCTTAGCGGCACACTTCCAATGACCTTTAGAAGCCCCACCTTCTCAAGTTCTACCATTTCTCAACACTGACACAGGGCAGTGACCACAACTGTAGCGATGAGCCTTTGGGGTCACTAAGATCCAAATTACAACTGAGAGATAGGTAACCTGCCAAAAATCACATCTATAGACAGCACCAGGGCCAGGTACAAAGGTTAATCTGATAGAATCCTCATTTAAAACTAGTCATCACTGCCCTAAATCCAAATCGAAAACTGTATTTTATCCCAAAACCGACTTAGACTTTCTCTTAATACAGTTAAAACTTCAAATCCTTCTAAAATGTGTATCTTAAAATTTAAGGCACCAGGAAAAATCAGCTTCAATTTTTTAACTATTTCAATACATAGTTGTAATAATACATATTAATAATTAAGAAACATTGTAAACCATTATACATTTGAAGTTTTCATTTTTAAAACACGTTGGAGCCAGGTGCTGGTAGCTCACACGTGTAACCTCAACTATTCAGGAGGCTGAGATGTAAGGATCCCAGTTCAAAGCCAGTCCAGACAGGAAAATCCAAAGACTCTTATCTCCAATTAACCAGCAAAAAGGCCAGGAGTAGAACTGTGTCTCAAGCATTAGGGCATAAGCCTTGGACAAAAAAGTTAATGGGCAGCACCTAGGCCCTGAGTTCAAGCACCAGGGCTGGAACACACACACACACTTTGAAAACTCTTACCTTGACATTTCCCAATAATAGATGTAAAATCATCTTTAGCAGACCTGTAAAAAGTATATATGCACATTCAGGACAATATTATTACCCTAATAACACTACTATATAAGTGCATGAATACACCAGAGACACTATGGGCTAGACAGATTTCATATATGACAATAAATTTTTTCTCTTACAGAGACAGCCTCCAAAACTCACTCTTGACAATAATTTCCTCCATCTTTCATATTGCCTCAGAAATGGAACTATGGTATAATACAGTGATATGGCACAAATTGAGTTAAATAATGGTTTTCAACGCAATACACTTCCAAAGATTCTGATTCAGTAAATTGGGGAGAAGACCAAAGTATTTTTTAAAGCTCCACAGAGTGATCCTAGTTAAGAGCCATAATCTGTATCATATTACAAAGTTTGATCACTTAGCAAAATAAAAAAATCTCATATTAATAAATGAAATAGGCTCAAGCCTGTAATCCTAGCTATTCAGGAGGCTGAGATCTGAAGATCATGGTTCAAAGCCAGCCCAGGCAGGAAAGTCTGTGAAACTTTTATCTCTAACAAACCACCAGAAAACCAGAAGTGGCACTGTGGCTCAAGTGGTAGAGCACTAGCCTTGAGCTGAGGAACTGAGGGACAGTGCCCAGGCCTAGAGTTCAAGCCCCAAGACTGACATAAATAAATAAATTAATAGATAAATTAATAGCCTAAATAGGTTACCATATTTAAATTAGTGAGCCACTTAAAATCTGTCATCTTGTAATACATATCAAAGTAGTATAATTATTTAAACTATTCAAAAAAGAAAACTGGGGGGCTGGGAAGGTGGCTCAGTGGTGGAATGCTTGCCTTGCATGCATGAGGCCCTGGGTTCGATTCCTCAGCACCACATAAGCAGAAAAAGCCAGAAGTGGGGCTGACGCTCAAGTGGTAGAGTGCTAGCCTTCAGCTGAAGAGCTGAGGGACAGCGCCCAGGCCCAGCTTTCAGGCCCCACAATCGACCAAAAAAATAAAAGAAAACTGGTAAACCTTCTAAAACATAATTTAATGAAAATTATCTAAAATTTGCATGTTTAAAGCATTTGACTTAGCAATCTACTTCTATGAAATTATCCTCAGGAAATAGTTATAGATTTATATAGACATCAAAAAGTTAATGTAGCCTAATTTATGAAAGAGAAAAATATATTCAGTATAAAATGATTAATTACATTTTGCTATGTGTGTGCAATGAAATATTATGCAATTACCATGTGACATAGTAAGATGTTCATAATACATTAATTCTCAAAGGTTAACCACATAAAAGGGATACAAATTAAAGGATGTAAATTAAATTTATAAATTACTGAAGCAATTCACAAGTTGGTATCACACAGAAAATACATTATGCACTAAAAGTATGTATCATTCACACTGTCTGCAGATAAAAAAAGTTTCAAAAAACACAAATCAAGATATTAACAATAAACTCTGGGTAGCAGAATAATAATTTATTTCTAGAGGGTTTTTTTGAGGGAGTTGTTTTGTTTTAGCTTTTGTTTACTGGCAATAGTGGGTTTGAACTTGGCCTCACACTTGCTATACAGATGCTCTACCACTAAGCCACACCTCTAGCCCTCTTTCCTTATATTTAACTATACTTTCTAATATTTCTAAAAAATAAAGCTGCATGTTATTTTTGAAATTTTTAAAAATTCTTACATTTAACATTTTTAAAAATATTGTTATAATATTATTAAAGACAATAGGAAGAACTTCCCTTATATTATGCAGCTTTTAAGTAAAATAGAGTCGTTGAACTGTGGCAAAACTGGGTCTGGCTCTCTGTGTGTGACTGAGACAAAGAACTTAGTGTAAATTTTGCTTTCCTTCAAATAAAACAGATGATGGCATCCTTACCCAGCTTAGGGAAAGAACTAAAGGGGACATCAGCAATTGCTCGTTACTTTCACCCTTACCATAATTTTAAATAATTGTCACTACTTTTCAGAGGTAAAAGAAAGGAGATGTCTATTGGGTTTTATTTAAATTTTACACACTTATTCACTTACAATAGTTAAACGTTCACTTTGGGGGTAGAGAATTTATATGCCTTTTTCAGAGTAGTCTCTTATTTTACTGCTTTCTGTTGTGTTCTTGATGGCTGCTAATTAGCTCCCATATTTGTAACAGCCAATAATCATAAGAAATTATTGCTTTACTAATGAAGAAATGAGGAAATACATATGAACCACTTGTAATCTGTAGCTGCTGCCAAAATACAAATTAAAGAAGCACTAAGAAGCAATTCATAAGTTATTTCTTATCCACAGGAGCACCAACAGAAGCAAGTCAAGGATGTCATATTAGAGCAAGTGATTAATGTCATTTGAACTCATCACTAAAGTAAAACTAGGAAACAACAGTCCAAGATATAGCTAGGCACCTAGAAATTTCTTCCCATTGCTTATTTTTTGAGACCCAAGAGTTAGGCCTTGTCTGTTTCAGAGGTGCCATACATTTTGTATGCTGTTGCAAATTTCTCCCAGGATTTAGTTGGGATTGGTGCTTTTCTCTCATAACTAATACAGTGTTTAAAAATAAGACATTTGGAAATACCAGCATACTGAAGTTTTTTAGATGAGTATTTAATAATATTGAGGGACTTGAGCAGACAGATAATAGTATAGATCATATAGTGCTGGGTTCAAGTAATAAGTGACCCTGGTCACATTGCAACAAAGATATGCCTACCTGAGCTTTTGTGTGCTTGGCTGACATAGCAGTAACTGGCCAAATAGGACTTCCAGAGGCTGGGAGTATAAACGGGGATGGGGCGGGGCAGGAGGGGAGAGGGGGAATTATCCTATCCTATCCAAAGAAAGTACCATTCATAAGTTGGTGCTTGACACAAATTTAAGTGATTTAATAGTGAAATTCCTTTAAAAATACCACTTTTATAAAGCTTAAAATGCTCAGTTCTTACATAGCAAGTCAACTTTTTCTCAAAACTCTTACATATGAAGAATATTAAAAATTACCTAATCTCCACACACTGATCTTGAACAGCAGCCAGCAGCTTTCCATTGCTTTTAGGGTAAAAGGAGAAAGTAAAATCTATTATGAATATTTGTAATGGTCTTCAACACAGGTGGAATAATTTTAACAAGATAAAAGCATTTCTAAATTACTTTGCTCTACTTATTCATATTTTGGCTTTACAATTCAATGAGTATATAAGCACAAAATCACAGAAAATGATTCAATACATATTGAATTAACATGCCTAAACAAAACCACTCATACATATTAAAGAGAATTTAGCTTGGCACTGGGGGTTCATGCCTACAATCCTAGGTACTCAGGTGTCTGAAATCTGAGGATCATGGTTCGAAGCCAACCCAGGCAAGAAAGTCTGTGACTCTTATCTCAATTACACAAAAAGCAGGAAGTAGAACTGTGGTTCAGGTGGTAGAGCACTAGCCTTGAGCACAGCAACTCAGGGACAATGCCAAAGTCCTGATTTCAAGCTTCAGGACTAGCATTTTGAAAAAGGGGGGTGGGGAGGATTTAGGCCAGGCACTGATGGCTCACATCTATATCTTAGCTACCCAGGAGGCTGAGACATGGAGGATTTCATTCAGTTCAAGGACAGCCTGTCCTGTTTGCTAGACTCCAAGTCCAAAATAATCAGCCAAAAGTTGAGCTTTAGGTGTGGCTCAAGTGGCAGAGCACCAGCCTAGCAAACTGAAGGCCCTGAGTTAAAATCCCAATACCACCATCATCATCAGAGGGGGGGGAAGGAGAGGGGGGGAAGGAGAGAGGGAAGAAGGGGGGAACTTATATACACTAAAAATTTTAAATGAGTAGTCTTTAACTCCCTTGCATGGAGAGGAGGAAATGTTTCTCTTCATTGCTCTCTACTTTATGTTGTTAGACTGAAATAAATCCTTGCTAAAATTAAGAGAAAGAAAGACACAGAGAGAGAATGAAAGCTATTAGCACCCTGGACCAGTATGCTAGTACAAGCCTGTGATTCCAGCTACTCAAGAGTTAGAGGTAGGAAGAATGCAGGTCAAAACAAGAAAAAATATTAGGACTCTATCTGAAAACAAACTGAAAACCAAAGGACTAAAGCATGGCCAAAGTGGTAGTGTGTTTGGTAATGAGGCAAGAAGAAAGAAGAAATGAGGAGAAGGAAAAAAGAAAGAAAGCCATAACCCCAAAATTAGTATCCAAAATGAAATTTGTAAGCTAACTCTGATAGAAAAAATTATACAAATTATATACGTACTTACCTTGCAAGAACCAAATGCCAATTGATCTGTTTATTAACCAAGCGAACCAGTCCATCAGGGAGCAAGAAAGGTACAGGGCTGAAACCATAACACATCAGCTCATTGTAATCATGGAAATCACAGATAAGTAGGTAAATGTTACATAAATAGCACATACATCTGTACAGAAAACAGGGCATCTTTCCATTAGCATACAAAGTCTGAATATTAGCAGATCCACAATCAAAAGTTATTGATATCTGAAATTTAACTCTATATATTTGTCTATATCCAGAAAACCCATTAGTATGTTCTAAAGTATAAACTTATATCCTTCTCAGGAAAAAAAATCTAAATGCCAATAACCAGACAAAGTGAGAGAATACAAAACAATTACTAGGAAGTTCTGCCTCAACTGTAACCAAAAAAAAAAAAAAAAACCCTAGCAGAGACTCTAACGAAAAGGAAAGACATTTCCAAGAACTAGCAATGAAAAGGTAATTAAGCTAGAATTAGGCAAGCAAAAAAGAAACACAGAAAAGCCAAACAGGACTTTAATATACAGGACAGAAAAAGCCACTTATAACAAATACTGCCCCCCAAAACCTCTAGGTTTAATTACCATAAATTCAAAAACATCATTGGAAGTGCAATCTTCTTGAGAATAACTTTTATCATGAGGAAGAACACACATAAGCCTGGGGTGCATGCACAACTTGTATAATTACCAATATGACTAATTTAAGGAAGAAGACTACTCAAGACCAGTCTTGGTAGCACACACCTGTAATACCAGCTACTGTGGACGATCGTAGTTGATGGCCAGCCGAAGTAAAAAGTGACCAGGTATAGTATCTCAATCAATAAGCCAGGCTTTGTGGCACATGTTTGCAATCCTAGCCAAATAAGAGGCCACATATATCATCAGTCTAAGGCTAGCCAGGCAGGCAAAGTTGTGAGATCCTATCTGAAAAATAGCTTACGTTTAAAAAAAAAAAAAAAAACAACCCTATGATTCCTGGGGGCATGACTCATGCAATGGAGCACCTGCCTAGCAAATACAAGATCCTGAATTCAAACCCCAGTAGTAAAAAATTAAAAAGAAAGTCCAGCATCCTAAAAAAGTGAAACAGATGGTTCCTGAGAGGAAGGGAGACAGCTACTGCTGGTTGACATGAAGGTGCTTGCGTAAGAACACAAAGCTGTGTGCACAGCAGAAAGGACTGGCCAGAAGCAGTCATGAGTACAGATGTATTTCCTGTCCACTTGACCCCAGGTGCTCAAGACTCCTCTATGTCCCTATCCCCATAATCCACTCTCCTCATTCATCTCATCTCTACTCTATCACTCCTCACAACTCAAAAAAAAAAAAAAAAACAAGACAAAATTCAGTCAAGAAGTCTACATAGGTATGTGTATATAACACACACACACACACACACACAATAAAAGCAGAAAAATCCTAGACAAGTCCAACAGAAGGTGCAAAGGTTGCTTTTATAGAACTGTATTATCTCTGGTGCTTTTGATTTTAAGATTAAGGAAAATGATCTGTAGTAAACAGTTCTTTTGAACAAATTCATACATGCTTCTAAAAACAGAATACTTATTTCTAAAAACAGAATACTTATTTCTCTGTTGCTTTGGAAGCTGAAAAGCAACCTCATTTCTGATTATATATATACTGTACACCTAAAAACTTAAACATACAAAAGAACTAAAACTTAAAGAACCTTTTCTAATATACAGCAATTATACATTAACATATAGCAATAAGAACAAAAATGCTCCTTTAGGCCAGGCACCAGGGACACATGCCTATAATCCTAACTACTGAAGAGGCTGAGATCTGAGGAACTCAGCTTAAAATCAGCCCCGGCAGGAATGTCTGTGAGACAGTTACTCCAATAAACTACTAAAAAACCCAACTGGTAGAGTGCTAGCCTTGAGCAAAAGAAACTCAGGGACAGTGCCCAGGCCCTGAGTTCAAGTCCCAGGACCCACAAACCCATTCCCACCCCCCCATTTCCCCCATACACCCACACACAAATGGCCCTTAAAAGAAAAGTAAGCCACAACCCCATCACGTGGGCATTTGAGAAAAGGCCAAGAACCCTGGACAGAAGAAGCACTCAGAGAACGAAGATCATCAAGGCCACAGAGGGATCTTCAGCTTATACTAAAATACTTGATACATCTGCTTCAGGAACCAGGTTTACCTGAACATCAGCGTCCACACAGTATCTTATACTAAAATACTTGACATCTGCTTCAGAAACCAGGTTTACCTGAACATCAGCATCTACAAAGTCATCTGTGATTCAATTATGAAAACTTAAATCACAAACAAGATACCAAGTTACATTGTTTCTCTGAAGAACTGAAGACTCACCTGTACCAGATGTATTGGCGTAAAAATAATAAATGATCTGTAATAAAAAGAGTAAAGAAATATGAAATATGTCTCCCATTTTCATTCATTTCAATAAGTTTACATGTAAAGTTGGTTAGTAGTTAAATGACTGTACAGGTTAATCAAACTTACTGTTTGTGAATCTCTGAGCAATTGTATCCAAACATTATGTGATCTACATAAACGAGCCTCTTGATTTTTTTTTTTACCTTCAACATCCACAACTTCTCTGAGACTCAACTGTACTTAATCTCTTTCATTCCGTATAGAACACATCCATAGAGGCTAAACCTAGGCTATCCTTTAGCACTGAGCTGCACTAAAGATGCGTGTGTATAAAACACTTGTATATACATACATGCATCTGTACACAAATACGTACAAAATTAAACTCCAATAATATGTCTTACTTTCACCAAGCTCCAGAGTCTAAACAACACATGTTAAAAATCTCTAAACTTTGTGGAGCATAGTGTTCCAGCCTATAATCCCAGCTATTCAAACAGATGGAAATCCGGAGTACAGTTCAAGGCCAGCCCCAGAAAAAAGCTAGCAAAGCCCACCACCTCAATAAAAAAGCTGGGTGTGATGGCAGATGCCAGTCAGCATAGTCTGTAGATAGGAGGATCCCAGCCCAGGCCAATCTAGGCAAAGACTTGAGATTGGATATGAAAAACAACCAAATCAAAAAGAGCTACGGCCTGGCTAAGTACTGGAGGGCCTGCCCAGCGTGGAGCCCTGCACTCAAACACCAGTACCAGAAGAACTTTCTAAGATTGCAATGACAAATCTCTAAACTCCCTAAAACTGCACAATTACAAGTTAAACAGGGTTTAAAAGTACCCACATAACCTTATCACATACAGTAAGATAAATGAGCTATTTACCTCTGATTGCTTTCGTGATGATGAATGATGCTCCATGCTTTCGGTTACCTCTAGGCTACAATAAAATTTTAAAAAAAAAACCTTACATTTGAAGATTTTATAATAAACTTGTACATCTTTACTAATGTAAACATACACTTCTTTACTACTTTACTAATTCTGGGAAAACTGAATACAAAGTACCAGTACCTAAAAACTACTTCCAAACTGAAACAAAAATAGTATGATCATAGGTGGGCACTGGGGACTCGTGCCTATCACTTAAGAAGCTGGAATCTAAGGATCACAGTTCAAAGCCAGCCCAAGCAAAAAAGTGTGAGACTCTTGTCTCCAATTAACCATCAAAAAGTGGAGTTACGGATCAAAAGGTAGAGCACTAGCCTTGAGCAAAAGCTAAAGGATAGTTCCCGGAACCTTAGTTCAACCTCTAGTACCAGTATGCTCTCACTCTCTTGCACATGCATGCAAGCACTAGTGTCTCCCTCCCTCCCTCTCTCTCTCTCTCTCTCTCTCTCTCTCTCTCTCTCTCTCTCTCGCACACACACACACACACACACACACACACACACACAAGTATGCAAGTATAACCAGAATCTGGTATAGAGGTAATAAGGTAAGCTAAGTGGTTACA